AAGCATTATAGCACACGTAAAAACCCTCTATAAAACAATAAAAACGAACAAAGGAAGAAAAAACCAATATTTTTAAGTAGAATCATTTTAAAGAGGCCAAATAGTTTTCTTAGCTGCTGTTTATCTTATACTGACACCAGTTGTTCAACTTTACTATTCTAGTGGGACTATGGAAATATCATTGGCCCTTACGCGCTTGTTGCTCATGAAATGGGTCACAACTTTGGATTTAACCATGACACAGGTAGAAATAGACCCTATGTGACTGAGTTCCGTAGTCGATCTCAGGAAACACGAGATCGCACTCCACGATTACACTAAGAGTTCTCTGTATTATTCACAGGAAAAAAACTTGAATTTACTTAATCCTTTATTTGTCTTTATCCATTCATTTATTTATACAATCTATTCCATATTTTCGCAATTTTACAAATTACTAGTGTTGTTTGACCTGTAGAGAGTAAAGAACATTGTTAGTATAATTATTATACCCTGTTATGAAAAACGCATTTACCTGGTCAAACGTTAACACATCCCTTTTTGTTTGGGTTTTCTATTGTTTGCTTATTGTAACGTATTATCTGATAAAATCCGTAGTGCAAACCCATAAATGAATTTACAACTAAGTGGTTATTCACAAGATTGTCTGCACTTTTCGATAAGTTATCGAAAATAACTTGTTCTTTTCGCAGAAAGCTGTAAGTGTTTGACCCCAAAAGGTTGCGTCATGGGCCGTCACCAGTATGTTGTATTTGTGTAATATTTGTAATACAACTTTGCACTCGTGGTAGATGAGAATTCACTCGTTTTGTACCAATCAAAAGCGCATGATTTTTTCCTGTACATTATTAGCATAAATATCTGCATGCTATTTCGAAACATGAGACGAGTGTTCAGTCAACAATACTTTTAATTTCTCTGGTCATTGTTTTGATCATTGGCCGCGGATAAATTCGGTAGCACAGGGTGAAAAACCGTAAGCAAATGCATTTGGAATAAAACAGTGGTCTTTGGCAAGTAACATGACTCATTCCAAAATGTTTTGATTGGGTGTTCCAGAACCAAAACCAAACTGTAAACCACAAGCAGCCATCTTGAGGCAAACATTGCAAAGTTACTAACACCGTTCTTACTTCGTCAGTACTGTTATCGGGGTTACTTTGACATAGACGAACAATCACGTGATAGGAAAAGAATGGCGATTTCAAAAATCCCATTGTGGCAAGAAGTACCACGGATCACATTGAGTAAAAATAGCAAGGAACTCAAACGTAATTAATTCCTCCATTCGTGTATTGGGATCGGTAAGGTTGAAGTGTGCTAAAAAGGCTGTTGCAAGTTTTTCGGGCTAATCACAGAGATATACAATTTGGCTCGCAGGACCAGAGTTGCAGGATTTTCTAACTGCAGTTTGACTCAGCTTCAAAAACTGAATGACTGGTGCTTATTTAATGTGCCATCGTACAAGGTAAACATTTTGATTTCAAGAACGAGTATTTACTAAAGTAATCGAGCGATCAAATGTTATATTAACCAAACTTCAGCCTTGAAACATACACAGCGTTAAGTCAAAAGGTTTGCTGGTGTCAAAGGTATTTAGGTGAATTTTTATCCCGTCAGTGTTTGCCATTTTTCACCAAATCTACGCAGCTCTGAAGGGTATCTATCCAGCTAAAACTTGTTCCAGATAAAACAATATAAAAAGATTGATTCGCCATCACTTATTGACATGCAATAACTTCACTGTGTAATCAATACATAGAAAGATGACTTTCTGTTCCGTTTGATATTCTGTTTTTCAAGTCTGCTAACGGTTATTGTGGAAATGGAATTCGCGAAGAAGGAGAAGAATGTGACTGTGGCACTCCGGAGGTTTGTTAAGTTATATTTTTATAATTTATTTTTTATTGCTTTGATTTTTCTATTTTTGTTTTGTCTTGGTCACTTTCTATGTAATGTAAGGATGATAGTGATTATATGAAAAAATAAAAAATAATAATTAAAAAGAGGGAGCATAGGACAACGATTTTTGAAAAATTGTTAAAAAAAAAAACTTTTAAAAGTTCTAATACTTTTTAGATGTCTCTCGATTATTCAATGAACGAATTTTGGAAATAATGAGAAGTGGTGACACTTTTGGCTCTGATAAAGATGTAGAGCCGAGCTTAAGGCTTAAACTGTAGACTATTTTATAAAGTAATTCAAAAAGTACGCGCGCTCTGATTGGCCATAAAACCATTTTACATGAGCGTATGTAAACACAGTTTTCATACTGAATCTTCTTGCGGAGTTCTCCCTGCTATTAATTTTAGCAGTAACTCAATTTTTTTAAAGTTTGTTTTGAGTACAGTAATGGAAGAAGAAGATTTTCCAAATTTTTCTTTGGAGTTTAATTTTCCTAGTATTCAAGAAACGGCCGAAAAGCCAAATGAACAACAACAACAAGCACGTCGCTTTCCTTCGTTGCAAGAAGAGGCTCTTTCATTAGTTATTTTATAAAAGAAATGTAAAATGGTTTCCGTGTTTACATAGCCTGATGTAAACACTTGGGAAATTGGGAGAACACTCGATAAGCTGGAAACCAATCCGCTTCGCCTCGTGGTTACCTACGCTTATCTCGTGTTCTCCCAACCTCCCAAGTGTTTACATCAGGCTATGTAAACACGGAAACCATTTTACATTTCTTCACTACTACATGAGTAAGGCTGAAATATAATTTAAACACAATTCAGTCAATGTCAGGTGAATTCCTATATTTCAAGTCACCAGAATATGTCTAACTTAGTTAATATGATCCCGCCTGTCTGAAAACGGATCGTAAGATGGTCTGTTTTACACGAATATAGCTGAAAAAGATCATCATTGAAAGAACTCGATAACATTAATCTTTTCACCCAATAAGGTAACGAATCTGACAATAAATTCGCCTTCGCCCAGCTCTAAGCTCCAATTCTTAGTTTCTAATTTACTTAATTCAGTTTATTTCAATTCAGCTAATTACTGTTATACAGTCTAAGAGTTTTGACTTACGAACGTTAATTAGTTGATTCAAGTTCTAAATCGACGCAAGAAAAGTCAAAGTTTTTTTTCCATAAAAAAGGAAAGATTCATTATTTTCCTCAGATGTGTGAATTAAAAGATCCCTGTTGTCAACCCTACAAGTGCGTTCTCAAAAGGGAATCACAGTGCAGTGACCTACATCATTCATGCTGCGAAAACTGTCTGGTAAATAATGTAATGCAGTAATTATTTTATTATATTTTAGGAAGCTGTCAGTTTTGACTGCATTAGATATAATGAAGTTTGATGGAACTTCAATGTAAATTCTCTGAGAGTACACACCGTTGGTTCTAGGGAACTTAAATAGTTTATAATCTATTTTCACCCTAATCTGCCCACCCGTGGAACTTCGCTCGGTTGATTCAAGGACGCAAATGATACAGGGACAGAGGAGCCGGGAATTTCAAGCAAAAATGAAACCTCTTTTTTTTCGCTTTTGGTATTTTTGCTTTTTTGTTTCCAGAAGAAATATTCCCCCGGAACTAGGGCCAGATAAATTATGCTGGTTGAATTTTGGGTATAATGTTATAGTCATAAAATCGAATTTTTTTTTAATTGAAAAGGATTTATAATATGTTTCAGGGTTAAATAACAATATTTTTGTTTTTTTTTGTGGTTTGTTTTTTGTCTTTGCGTGAAGCGATCAGAAAGGCTCTTGAGATTGAGATTGAGATTGAGAGTGAGGCGCGGTTACTAGGCTATAACAACACGGTTGTTGTGCTCAGAGGGACTACTATCTTTTCGACATTTGGCAAAAATAAAACTTTTGAGGAGAAAAGTTTCTCCAAATTATTTTAAATGAGCGCCAAGTTACATGTATAAACGTAATAGTCATCACCTCTTACTCACTTATCTTTAGTTTAAGAAACAAGGATCGTTGTGCCGTGAAGTCGAAACAGATTGTGATGTTCCAGAATACTGCACTGGTGATTATGGCGATGTAAGTATAGCTCTAAGAAATGCATTAACTTTGGACTTTTTCATACCACATTTATGAATGACCCGGCAATTGTATCCCACAGGGGCGATTAGACAAGATATCCAAGTTTGTCCGCAGAGGATTTTTTTGGTTAATTTTTGAAATTAGTTCTGTTTTATTTTACAGTGTCCAGGAGATACATACATAATTGATGGATACCCCTGCAGTCAGACCAAAACAGTGAGTGAACCCCGCGTTTACCACTACTTAACCTTTTGACCCATAAGATTGACTTGATTAAAAAAAAAAAAGGTTTCTATATTCGTTTTACAGCATCCTCCCTGAATCAAACATTAAATTCACAAGAGTAAAGAAATGAATTACGTTCGTGATTGTTAAAAAATTATTCTTCGCCAAACATCAAAAAATGTGAAAGAATGGAGAATTAATGAATGCTGATGTTAGGAAGTAAATGCTTGCAAAGTGTCGCATGTGCAGCAGCGTTTTATTTCTGCATTAGTGAATTTCTTCATTGCACTAACTTTTAGAGACGTAAGAGGTGAGAGGTGATGAACAGGAGTTAGATGAACACATGTAGAGAAAGTTCAAACTGTGTTGCAAGGACTTAACTGCAAGCAGATTCTAGTTGTGTAAATTTGTAATATATTCCTTTATTTGCTCTATCTTGCACAGTAATTAGCTAGTAGGAAAAAATTTATTACTGATGAGATAAGTTTAGCACTTGCAAAATGTTTTGTGGTTATCAAATGGTCATACTAATTCAAGGTTTCTATATAATGTTTTATTTAAGACATGCTTGCACTAAAAATTATGATAGCCTACCATTAGTTGCTCCACACTTTTTATATCATTTCCCTCTTTCTTTTTGTTTCGCCTTATATTTAATATTATACTTTGCAATTCTCTCTTCGACTACTTTTCGTCCCCAAATATCATTTACTAATCTGGGCATAGAATGATGGGTTTATTAATCCCATGTATGTAAATTTCATTGATCCATTAATTGCAACTAATTAATGCGATGACCATTATATTTTTATAAAGGTTATACTTGGAAACACTAACCATTATAGTGTGGAAATTAGACCTCTCTCTCCAAGAGTCTATGCTCGATATCTTCGTATTAATCCTCAGTACTGGAAAGACTGGCCTTGCCTAAGAACCGAGTTTCTGGGATGTTCAACAGATGAAGGTAATTTTAATGTAATTTCATTGCCGCATTGTGGGGAACGTAGTTTCCCGCTTGGGATGCTCTCAACGATGATGAGTCATCCTTTACTATAGACAGATTTTACAGTGCTTTGAAGTTGATTAAATTCCAATTGTTAGCAACTAATTGTTTTTCTGTAGTGGAAAAAATTGTTTTGATTTCTTTTATGATTCCTTGCCAGTCTCAATTTTTGAAAAATAATATGGAGTGTATAAAAAATAAAATAATAATTTATAAATAAGTGATTGAGAAATAATTAATTGATTTATTAGTTATCCAAACTTTTCATACCCAAGGTCTTATTAGTAATTTTAATTACTGTCTGCCATGCCATTCTTATGTTCTTAGCTTGTAATTTGGTATTGAATCAACCAACAATCCCATGATTCACATATTTCTTTACTCTCATCACTTGTATTGATGTTGTAAGGGGAAATTATCTCTTGGTCACTCATGGGAGTTAAAAGGTTGAGACGGTAAAGGTGTTCTTCTGTTTCCAAATGTTTGATTTCAAAGAATTTCTGAGATGTGGTAGGGGAAGTACTACAGTAGAGCCTTGGTTAACCAGATCCGCAAGGACTGGGCTTAATAGCACACATAATGCAGATTCCGGATAGTCCAAAAAATGAATGTAAAAATTCCTAGATGATGGGACCAGGGAAGCAAGTTTGTACTCAAAGTTGAAACAATTCGAAAATTAAGAGCCAAGTTAAGACACTGTTTGTCAATAAGGGTCAATAAAAAAATTCAGTAACTTCAATCAGAAATTTTGACCTAAAAGTTAGTGCTTCTAAAACCTTTGAGGAATTTAAGCAATATTAGAAAAAAATACGAATTTTATGAATCGCTGAGATCATGTCACCATCAAAACTCGTGTTTAGGCTACACTCGTAAATAATCCACACCCGCAAATATCAAGAGTGATTTTGAGGAAAAATACAAACTTGATTGTTTATTAACAGTTGTTCATGATAAACTTGCTGAAATC